GGGTGCGACGTAGTAAAAAATTTTTTTTTTTTTTTTAAGAAAAACAAATTTAAAATAAAATAAAATTGAGGCGTTGGGCTGTGGGGTGGGGGTGCGGGGGATGAAGAGTGAGGTTAGAGATTTTGCTTTTAAAGCTTTTAGCATGATCCCTATAATAATATGGGTAAATATGGATACCCATATTATCCATTGGGTAACTCGCTTTACCCATTTAAAATATGAGTCGAGTCGAATATTTTACCCATTTTTATTTAACTCATATTCAACTCGACCCGTTCGTTTGCCAGTCCTAGTCATACCCTTTGGCGCCGCTGTATTTCTTCATTGAATGATTTTTTTGGTTTTTTCTTTTTGGGAACAGGTGGTTCGCGAAAACCAGGTGGTGGTTGTTGTTGGAGAAACTGGTTCTGGAAAGACAACACAGCTAACTCAGGTTGGCTTAGACTAGTGTTTTCTTTTTCTAAATCATCTTTTTAAATCTTAACTGGAATCTGTTGAATCTTTTATACGGTCCTGGGTCTTATTTGTATGTGTGTCTGTAATTGCATGCAGTACCTTCATGAAGATGGCTATACAAGTAATGGGATTGTTGGTTGCACCCAACCCAGGCGTGTGGCAGCCATGAGTGTTGCAAAAAGAGTCAGTGAAGAAATGGAAACTGAGCTTGGTGATAAAGTTGGATATGCCATTCGTTTTGAAGATGTCACTGGGCCAAGTACTGTTATCAAGGTGAGTCTTTTGACCATATGAGAGATGAGTCTACTCGCACCTCGTAATTGTATTTTATGTAATTTATGCAATTGGAAGATTTCAAGGTGAGTACCTTGGTTCACTTATAAGTTGGTGTAAGCTTATATATGTATATTTCCTTGTGCAGTACATGACTGATGGTGTTCTTCTAAGGGAAACACTCAAAGATCCTGATCTTGAAAAATATCGGTATTGTCCCACTCTTTATATGCTTTCATAAGCTTTTATATTTGATTTCCTGGAACGTCAACTTTCTGCTTTCTTTATGTAGTGCAGTCACTCAAATATCTCTTTTTTGCAGTGTAATTGTAATGGATGAGGCCCATGAGAGATCACTTAACACTGATGTCCTTTTTGGCATTCTTAAGAAGGTTGTGGCTAGGCGACGTGATTTTAAGCTTATTGTCACTTCTGCCACTCTGAATGCCCAGAAGTTCTCTAACTTTTTTGGGAGGTAGGTTTTTTTATTGGATAGCTGGACAAGGATATTGTATGTGTTGGCTTTCCATCAACTTTCCACTTCACATAACCCTGTGTCTCTTTATTGCAGCGTACCAATATTTCACATACCTGGAAGAACCTTTCCAGTTAATAAATTGTATAGTAAAACCCCATGCGAAGATTATGTCGAAGCTGCAGTTAAGCAAGCCATGACCATCCATATTACTAGTGCACCGGGTGATATACTCATCTTCATGACTGGTCAGGATGAGATTGAAGCTACCTGTTATGCACTTTCAGAGCGCATGGAACAGCTTACCTCGTCAGCAAAGCAAGCAGTGCCCAATCTATTGATTCTTCCTATATACTCTCAACTGCCCGCTGATTTGCAAGCAAAAATATTCCAGAAAGCTGAAGACGGGGCTCGAAAATGCATTGTTGCTACTAATATTGCTGAAACATCCTTGACTGTCGATGGAATTTACTACGTCATTGATACAGGCTATGGTAAAATGAAGGTGTACAATCCTCGTATGGGTATGGATGCTCTGCAAGTGTTCCCTATTAGTCGAGCTGCAGCTGACCAGCGTGCTGGTCGAGCTGGTAGAACTGGCCCAGGAACTTGTTACCGGCTTTATACTGAGAATGCGTATGAGAATGAAATGCTGCAAAGCCCCGTGCCAGAGATTCAACGGACAAATCTTGGGAATGTGGTTTTGCTGCTCAAGTCTCTCAAAATTCAGAACCTGTTGGATTTTGATTTTATGGACCCACCTCCTCAGGATAACATCCTTAACTCCATGTATCAGTTGTGGGTATTAGGTGCACTTAACAATGTTGGGGATTTAACAAGCCTTGGCTGGAAAATGGTGGAGTTCCCATTGGATCCTCCCCTTGCCAAAATGCTCTTGATGGGAGAACAACTAGAATGCTTAAATGAGGTTCTGACTATTGTTTCTATGCTTTCAGTGCCTTCCGTTTTCTTTAGACCCAAGGATAGGGCTGAGGAAAGTGATGCCGCTAGGGAAAAGTTTTTTGTGCCAGAATCTGATCACCTTACACTGCTTAATGTTTACCAGCAATGGAAAGCTAATCAATACAGGGGGGACTGGTGTAATGACCACTTTTTACAGGTCAAAGGTCTGCGCAAGGCTAGGGAAGTAAGGTCTCAATTGCTGGATATCCTCAAGACACTTAAAATTCCACTCACTTCCTGTGGTCCTGATTGGGATGTTGTAAGGAAAGCCATCTGCTCTGCCTACTTCCATAATGCAGCTAGGCTGAAAGGAGTTGGGGAATATGTTAATTGCAGGAATGGAATGCCTTGCCACCTTCATCCCACTAGTGCTCTCTATGGATTGGGTTACACTCCTGATAACGTGGTTTATCATGAGCTTATCTTGACATCAAAGGAGTACATGCAGTGTGTGACAGCTGTGGAGCCTCACTGGTTGGCTGAACTGGGGCCCATGTTTTTCTCCGTGAAAGATTCTGATACATCAATGCTGGAACATAAAAAGAAACAGAAAGAGGAGAAAACTGCCATGGAGGAAGAAATGGAGAAGTTGCGTACAGTACAGGCTGAAGCTGAGAGACGAAACAAGGAGAAGGAGAAGGAAAAGAGAGCAAAAGAACTGCAACAGGTTTCTATGCCTGGTTTGAAGAAAGGCTCGACTACTTATTTACGACCTAAGAGGCTCGGTCTGTAAATTACATTTTTTGCTGTAGTTGCTAGATATCTGGTGTGATGACTCTTGTCCCAGTGCAAAAACCACGTACAATTCTCAGCCCATCTCTTAGTCATCCTCAAATTAATTTAGTGGATGGAGATTCAGAGAACTAAAAAATTCAAAAGAAAGTTTACAGTCAACAAATGCATGCACAAGCTGAAAGTTTACAGTCAACAAATGCATGCACAAGCTCCTTCATATAGCAATTATCTTTACCTCTTGCAACCCTGAATTTGACGTGCCTGTATAAGTTTCTTGATATAACAGTTACATTTGCTCCTTTTGATCATTTGAACGTTTGGGTTTTAACTACTTTTGGCAGCATTCAGATATGCGGATTTGCTACTTTTGTTGTGTTACATCATCTTCTTATCTGGAGTGATATAGAAAGGATAATCTACAATCAATTACTTTGTTTATCAGCATCCTTTGCACGAGTTGCAGATAGAATCATGTATGTTTTTGGAAATTTGTAGTTCATACCTTTTTTAATTATGAAAAAGATGTTGCATAATGTAGGCTTGCAATAAGCTTTGCTCTTTCACTTCTTTTGGCACATAAGAGTGCTTTATGTTGGCCAGAAGGTGATATAATGTTTATAGATTGAAGAGCAAGTGATATGGCGTAAACATAGAAATGAAAAATTACATCCTCTGCAAGAGATTGAAGATGTTTATTTTTGCATGATTCCAACTACATGATTAACACGGGAAGACGAAAATGGATAAACAGTTCATTTAGTTGGTTTAAATTTTGTGATATTACTCGTTTTAAGTTGTCGCGTATTAATCACTCTACTGCTCCTGGGGAAGAGAAATCTCTACACTGGAAAATAAGCTCGATTCATACTGATGTGATGGCCATTCCAAATTTGTCTTTCATCTGGTTTTCAACTCAACTCTGCATTTCTATTACATTATGGAGAAGTCCATTCTCGTCATATTATGACCCTTGTGATCTTCATATAACGCTGATAACAGCAAGAGGTCTAATAAGCTTTAAAAATAACAGAAATTGGAAGACAATGATTCAAAATTTAAATCTTTGCCAAGGCTGGTATGGCAGTGCAGAAACTGTTTTTTTTATTCATTTTCAGGTAGCAGTTGAGGAGAAGGGGGATGACATAACAACACAAGACTGATGATATATCAAAAGAGAGAAGCCACTACTCATTACTGTAATGTAATTTTAACAAGAGAAAAAGACACTTCAAAATGTTACTATTAAACAAGAGAAAAAATGTAGTGTACATCAAACTTCATCAAAAAAATGAATGTAGTACACACCAAAATCATCTAATAAGGTGAAACGAGGGCACAGGACTGATATTGTGACTACGCCAAAAGGTGAGAAGAATAGCATTGAACTTGGACTCACGCATTACTTCTGCAGAAAATGCATTTTCTATGCAAAGCAGAAACACTGAAGAGTGAATGAAACACAGGTTCTAATCTGCTTCCACGGTATCTGCAGTAGTTTTGTGATCAAAGGGCCAAGCAAGCCTAAAATTAAGATGCGCAGGATTATATAAGATGGAACACAAGAATTAGCAGTAATTTTTACAGATATATGCAAACAAAAGTGTATGTTATGTAATGATGATACTAAAACCAATATGGTAGGATTGTTATCAAGTTTTACTAGGTTCTAAGGCCTCTGGGATGCCAATGCTCACACTCTCTTGTTACCATTCTTGCCAAAACCAGTATCCTGCATCATTGCTACAAATTCATTGTAGTCAATGCGCCCATCCTGAAGAAAGAATAAGAATATGAAGCTAATTAGTTTGAAGCTTGATCATTCTTTATTTCCAATACTATGGTCATGTTCTTATTTATGTTCCAACAATTAATCATGCATCCTATGTATTTTCATGATATTAGAAACAAAGTTCTGATTAGAATGACGAGTATACATTATCCTGATCAACTTCACGCATAAGTTCTTCCATGGGAATATTGCTCAAACCAAACTTCTCACAAGCCTGTTGGAGCTCTTCTTGTGTGATATATCCACTACCATCTTGATCAAAATATGAAAAAGCGGCATACATGTGATCCTCCTTCTGGACTTTGTTTAGATGGAGCATAGCAGCGATAAACTCGCCATAGTCAATGGTACCACTATTATCCATATCTGCCTGCATTTTTCCATGGAGAAGGCTATTTAATAAGGATCAGACTTGATGGTGTATTGTTAACGAGATATGATTGTTCCAGTTAAAGACTGTAGCAAAGAAGCTGAAAGACAGAAGCCAGAAACATCTCACATAACTAACCCAAAAGGCTACATATGTCCAAAGATTTAACAAAACAGAGAATATCAAGCCTTTGCTTCTTTCGAGCAACCATGACTTTTCTGGTAGTATTCTTAGTCTAAGTTTCTAAAACATTCACAGTAGAGGCTCTTGTTTCTATTACCAGTTACCTGGTCCTAATGGGCTAAGGGCACAGCTCTTCTGTGTAAGAGGAGTCTTTCTCTATTTTGGTCTTAGCAACCACATAAGGGATTTATATGTAATATGCTGTTGGACCTCTAATAAAAAGTTTGGAGTACTTGACTCAATACTAATATATATGATTTTGCTAATTTCATTAGAGAATGCAACTAAGAGATCAATATTTCTGATGTTACAGTGCCATTGAATAAGAAACAGCTTTGTTTTGTTCTGGTCTTGCTTTTATCAACAGAAAACAATTGTGATTGTTTGGATTTGGTTTTGAGTATGTCTTAGAAAAAATAGATTGTACTGAGTCAAAGCAAGTAGGAAAGATATCGAACACAAAAAGTAAAAACCAAAACCAATAATGAAAATGAAAAAGGAACTTCTACATACCGCTTGCATTAAACTGTTTATTTCTGAATCCTTAAGTTTGGAACCAACTTTTTCTAAACCCTTTTTCAGTTCCTCCAGCGTAATATGTCCACTGTTATCTGCGTCTATCATTTTGAACATTTGCTTTAATCCCGCAATTTCCTCTCCAGATAGATTTTCAGCAATAACCTTAACAAAACAGCTGTACTTGGTCAAGCATAATAATACAAAACCTAGTACAACAGCAACAACAACATACCCAGTGAAATCCCACTAAGTGGGGTCTGGGAGGGTAGAGTGCACGCAGACCTTACCACTACCTCGAGGAGTAATACAAAACCTAGTAATAGTTGATAACAGTAACATGCAAGGGTATCCTTTTCCTGCTCCTCATTTTAAAATCACTAAGGAGAAATGGAGAAATACTGGAAGATTGCCTTTCCACTTTCCAATTTAGAATAGATATAGTTCTCACATTGTTTCTACTCAAGATTCTCTATTGTCAAAATAAGAAATACTGCTACTACACTAAGATCAGTGATCAAACGTGTCAAGAATTGAAACAACTTACTCTGATTGCTATCTTCTTTAATTTATTCATTGCAGAAAATTGATTCAGACGAGAAAGAACAGCAGAATCAAGAGGCTTATCTGGAGCAACTCCACCTACACGGACCCATGGGTGACCTGAAATAGACAATAAACAGTTTTTCTTGCAAGTCAAAGTGCATCCAAATGAACTCTTAACCAAATATAAAGACAGACAAATGGACTTATCTGTTGCATTTCTATCAATTTATGAATGTTTTTACAATTACATTTTCCCTACATATATCATAGTCTCTGTTAATCAATCCATCAAAGAAGCTCAAATAAAAGGTCAGAATCTCTGTTAACCTATCCATCACAAAAGCTCAAAGTAGAAGGCCAGAACCTTCCTCATATTTCACAATATCTTAGCCAATGATACAGATATTGTCGTTAGGAGCATAGGCCTTGTAATAATGTATCCCAACCTGTCAACAATTTGGCAAAAATGCACACTAAAAACAAAGTTTCACAAAACGCTTGAGAGGAATTGTTCTTGGGTCCATCATTCTTCTTCCTTTAAGTGAACTTATACTTGGCAGTGTACAAGTAAATATTGATGTTCATAATTCACTTTAATTATTTTCCATCTCATGCAAGTCGCCTATATCTTGCTCCGCAGTTCAGTGGATGCTACAATGAGAAAAAGCTACTAAACTGTGACTGCTATCGAGATCCAGTGTTCAATACATTTTTCTTTTGGCATCTACAGTTTCTCTCATTAGAACTTTATTTGCCTTTCTTCATATCAAATTGGAAAAGAGGAAGGAAAAGAAAAAGAGGTTAGCAGGTACAAGAACATTTCTGCAACAAATAGCACAACCTTAATCATGTTCAACTCTAAGAATGATTTAAGAAGTATGTCAAACTTATCTGTTTCAGCAGACTGCATGACCATATTAACACAGAGAATAAAGGATGAGAAGAATCAAGCCAAATACTCAAAAATAGAAAAGTATGTCAAGAGAATAAAGGATTGGACTTAGATCTTACAGAGAACTTCGTGAGCTGTCAACCGCTTTTTGGGATCTCTCACAAGCATTTTTCTGACTAGATCTTTGGCACTTTCTGATATAGCTGGCCAAGGTTCGGATACTAAATCAAGTTCCCCTTTTACAATCTGTTCAAATATTCCTTGCTCCGTTTCTGATAGAAAAACATCAATGTATATTAAGCATCATGGTCAATATCATGGTAGCTTAGAATTATAGAAATAAAATCTCACCATCCCAAAATGGAGGCACACCGCTAAGAAGTATATAAATTATTACTCCAGCACTCCAAATATCACATTCTGGACCATAACGCTTGCGCAGGACTTCTGGTGCTACATAGTAAGGGCTTCCAACCACATCAGTGAATGTTTCACCTGGATGCAAAAGATCCTTAACTAAAGCTCTACTTATGTATCTAACAAATCATGATTAATGTTGCAGAGATGAACAATTATATGTAAATGTACCTGGTCTAAAGAAGACAGATAAGCCAAAGTCGATGGTCTTCAATGAGGACTCCTCTTTCTCATTGACAAAAAGGAAGTTCTCAGGTTTGAGGTCCCTATGCATAACACCGAGTGAATGACATGCTTCTACAACACCTACTATTACTCTTGCAAGTTCAGCAGCCTTCTTCTCAGAATAATGGCCTCTCTTTATAATCCTATCGAAAAGTTCACCACCAGCACAAAGCTCCATTACAACATGAACAGCAACAGCATCCTCATAAGCCCCAACAATCTGTACAACACTAGGGTGGCCTGCCAAGTGATGCATTATCTGAATTTCCCTCCGTACATCCTCGACATCTTCTTCAGTTGTCAACTTTCTTTTAGCAATTGATTTACATGCAAATTCTTTTTGTTGAGCTTTGTCGACACACGAAAAGGTTGTCCCAAATTGGCCTTGTCCTAATTTCCTTCCTAAAGTATAAATATCTTTCAAATTTCCGGTTTTTCGTCCTAAAACAGTATCAACTTGGAGGCCTGCACTCATTACTCGCTTAAGATTACTAGAATTATTTCTTTTGACATCTTCCACAACAATGTCGTCACCATTTTGGGAATTTGTTGATTTTTCATCCTGATCTCCAGGTATCTGAAGATGTGGAGGAGGGGTGTTCTGGACATTATTAGAATCAGAGCCTTTTCCATCTGTCTTTGATGAATCTGCTGAATCTTTGTTCAAAGTGGGTCCGGAGCATGTATTCCCCATCAAAACATAAGATATATATTGCTCAGAAAATTAAAATCTCAACCATATTGATGAACAATAACAATGTAGAAACAAAAAATTCCCCCCCACAAACCAATGAATATAAAATTAAATTGGGAAAGAAGTGTTTTTTTTTCTTTTTTTTTGGTTTTGGGGGTGTGTGAGTGAGGAGATGTATGAATCAATTGCAATTGCATGCATGCGTTGTGTAGTAAATACATAATTACGGTTCACATGCTAGTTAGCTATTTTCCTCATAATTAATGGATATCTTCTTGTTTTCAATTATAATATAGTAGTAGTATATTACGGGGTCTTTTGACAAGGTACCTAGTAACCAGCATAAGTATGTATATATCCTATTATTAATATTAATATTAATATTAATTCTTACCTCCTCTTAGTTGTTGTTAGTAATATTTGTCGGCTCTTTTTCTAATAAACCAGGAGGCGTGAAAGGGAAGGTAAGAATCAAACCACATTCCCACGTAGCTACCATTTCACTGTAAACCTTAGTAGGAATGCATTTACAGTTGATTAAATGATTATAGTACAAAAACAACTTCATATTTAGAAGATAAATTCATAATTGTCTATAGGAAGTTTTATTTTTCTTAAATTGAGCAAAAACTTGAAATGATTAACATGAATAAACTTATCTAAGAGGTGAATATATATGCTGATGGATGTCATCGTAATATAAACATCAAATCAGAAATCTTTCTAATAAAATTCAGCCTCACCAAGAAAGATATGATATCAATACAAGCTCCTAACCTATCGTGACTTTGAAGGCTTACAAACAAAAGAATTACACAACCTCGTATAGTTGTATTCACCACACCACTCCACATTCCACAATAAAATGGGAAGAAAAATTAACAGTGAAAAGAATCACATCACAGATAAAACTTGCTTGAATTTGACACAGACGATCTGCAATCTGCATACCGGATCCCAATTTCTAGATGTGCAAGGAAATAGTTATTGGAATCCCAAGCTATTTGACAGAGGCAACTTAGCAACTCCAACATACATTCGGCTATGATCTAGGCAACAATAGAAGGATCCTGCAAGACGGAACTTCAGTTTCAGTATTTCAGGAAAATTACCCTCAAATATACAAACAAAAAAGAAAGAAATGGCAGAGGGACGGGGGAGCACTTTGCCATCCAACATAGTGCAACTGTTCAGGATAGCACTTTGTGAGTTTATATTTTAAAATGTTACAGAGACATTCCTACCAAGCAAAAGTATATAGGTTGTCTAAGAAATATGCTCTTTACTGACTGCTTTGAGTCTAATTGTTCTCTCATTTCTTCCTCTGGTTACATGAAAGAGGCATGTCTAGTAACAGATTTCCTGCACTTTGTTTTGTTTTACTTTACATTTTTACTGGCCATAAATGTTAGCCAGAATAGTATAACAAAAACAACCTTCCTTAATTTTTTTTGGGGGGGACCAAAGAGAACATATATAGCAGCATGATTCTTGCTGAAGGTACTCATTTTTTTAATCCCACCTATCATAATATTTCTTTTCATCTGTTTTTCTATCATTGTTAGTGACCTACGCCAAATAGGACAATGAATACAAATTGATAGATAGAAGTCAAAAGGTAGAGTTAGAGATACATAGAGGAGAAAAGAGAAGCGAGGAAAAACATACCTTTGCTGTCAAATTTGACAATGCAAAATTCCATTTCTCTCTCGTTTTTGTACCAGCAACTTGCCCTGCCTTGGCTACTTTACTAAAAGCACCATTCAGCCAGGCAGCTCCAGCATTAACATACCTGATCAGCTCCAAATTAATGGAAATGTAGAGCTTTAGTAATATAATAATAAGAACGTGCTTGCTTGCTTGCTAGAGTACAAGTGCTTAAACCAAAGTGAGTGGTCATGCACATTCCATCTTAAACCAAGGTAGTTCTCCCCCTCATTCCATCTTTACTTGGGAGATGCACTGTACTTAGTCTCTCTCCTTTTAATAAGGAAAATGCACAATGGACGCGGAGTGAGTGGCCATACACATTATAAGATGCTCATTAAAAAGATGAAATCAAGATAATCTTTGCCTCCTCAACCAACTGAAGTTTTTGAACCTTAATACTTCTTCAGCAAGTAGGAGCAACATGCCTAATTTTCAACTTCAACTTAATGGATTAGTAGCTCAAGTTATGCAAAACCTAAAAGTTGAAGAATTCATTTTAATTATCCAATGGAAAGCTATTGATTATGGTAGCAGGACGCACAATTTATGAATAGTTTGGAATTGTTTAAGGAGATGTTGTGAGGCCGCATACTAGATATTGCATAAAATGGAGCAGTAAACAGGGTGATGAAACTCGAAATTATTCAAAAAAAAACAAAGAATGATTCAATGCCCAATGCTCTCTCAGATGTCAAATCAATAAGTCATTCAGTTCAACATTGACCATAAAGCAATCTAATCTTCTGTTCGACGAGAAAAAAATATTTCAATGCCAAATGCTCTCTCAGAAGTCCAATCAACAAGAAACATCCTATGCACACTGATGATAAAGCAATTCAATTCTGCTGTTCGATGAGATAAGGCGTAAACCCAACTAAAGAAGGGAAATGATAAAGAGGAAAAGCATGGAATGCGAAAGGACTCTATTTTCTTTCTTTTCTTTACTTCGATCAGAATGTTGCAAGGAAAGGAAAATATGTGCTATTCCCTTCTCTCGGAGACTCAGTTTAAATAAGTGGCCCCAAGGGGAAATTGGTCATCTTTTTTGCTTTATTTCCTCTTCTTTTAACAAATCAAACAAGAGTAGAGAACTTTAAAACTTTCCCTTCCTTTCTCTACTTCAAGATATAGGATAATTCAGCTCATATAGCCACTTAACAGCATGCAAGATTCTCTTAGGAGATTATCTCAATAGATAGAAGCGGACAAAGAGACAAAAGAGAGCAGGTAATACTCTAGAAATCCTAAGAACCAACTGTAGCAACAAGTACAGAAAACTGCATTGTTAAAAAACAGACTTGAATCACATAGACATTTTTAAAGAATCCAGACCTGCTTGATTTGACCGCTGATCCTGTGTCATTCAATTTCCGTTCTGCTGCCATAACTGCAGCCATCGTTTTGTCTGACACTTGAAGCCTTTGATCAACAGATTTAACTTTCTCATTTACAACAGAAATTCCAACCGTAAGCTTTTCTGTTAGCCCAACTCTTCGGTCAAAGGAAATGACTCGGGCAGATGCAGTGGCTCTTAGCTGATGTTTCTCATCAAATGCCTTGGCTTTATTCATTGCATCTTGTCTGATAGCTGAACCTTTTGCCAACACATTTGAGACAACATCTTGGGCTTTACTGATATATACTTTCCCGTTCACCCTTCCATTGCTAGGAGAAGTAGGTTTGGCCTGCTAATGGAGACAAGTGATCAAGAGATTATACAAGTAATGCAGATCACTATAAAGCCGAAAAGAGCCTACAATAAGTACACAGTCGAAACAAATATATGCCTGCAAAGTGCAGATCATAATACATGAATCCTACACCACAATATACTTGCAATGGCTCTTCCATATCTAGAAGCTCTCTATAGAGACAACAATTTTTATGTTCTTGTGGACAAAAGATACCCAACTTTTTTATCCTTCGGGGTGGCCCGGGGGTTTGGGCTTGGGACTTCCATGTTGGAGGTCTCAAGTTCAAACCCCTTGCCAGCGAAAGCAAGGGTTTGTCTTCTGGGTAAAGCTCGTCGCACCTCTCCTGTATGGTTTGCGAGCTATTGCATAGGAGAGGGGTTTTTACCCTGTGCGCACCCAAAGGGTAGCGGCTGCAAGTTGCCCTTGTCATAAAAAATAAATTAAAAAAAAAAAAGATGCCCAACTTTTTAATAACTTGAAGGAAGAATTATCCACCAACTTTATTTACTCCCTCCGTCCGTCCCAATTTATGTGACACTTTTCGTTTTTCGAGAGTCCAGCAGTTTAAGTTTGACCGAAAATTTGCGCATGAAATCTTCATTTTTTTTAAAATGAAATTTCTATATTTGTAAACTACATAAAAAGTACTATAAGTCACAATAATTGATAATTCAAAATGTTTAAAAGATCTATGAAAACTTACGGTCAAAGATAGACTTGTTTGAATCTCGAAATCCGAAAAGTGACACATAAAATGAGATAGAGGGATTACTATATTACCTCAGCAAGCGGAGAAGAACTTTCTCCAGCAACATTCACGGCATTATCAACTAACCTGACTTCCTGGAAGCAATGAGTAGACTACATGAATTGTCAATATAGATATTCCTAAATTGTTATACTTTAATAACCGATATTTGCAATTATATGAATAGAGATAACACTTCCACACTTGTCTATGTAGTTACCCGAGTCTCAGATGATGGAACATAGTCTTCTTCCTGAGTAATATTTACAATCTGATCCACTATGGTTGCTCCCTGCAAAATGAGTAGAATCAGAAGGGTACTTCTCACAAACAAACAATTCAACAAAGCAGTAGCAGTGAATATACACAAAACCAATTTCCATGTGCTTATTATTCTTCAAACAACAATGGCATATCAAAATTTTGATGTCCTATAGTAATTTGAAATTAGGAGCATCATTCCTTCATTCTCCGTATTGAATAACTCAATCAATAGGAACATTGTCAAGTATGCATCATCAGTCACTGGCCAAAAGCTAAAAGCAGATTAGGGGAGGATGTAGCATATATATACACTCATTATATTTCATCAAGATTTAAGTTATATCAAAGATTTATAATATCATCAGGTTATTTAAAACCCAAAAAGATACATGTAATAGTTGGAAAATTTGTTAACTCTTCAATTACCAAAAGAGGTGCTGAAAAACACATGCTGTATAGATGAGCCTATATTTCATGTTTAACGGTAAAATCTACCTATACTTTTTTCTCCATCAGACAAATGATTAGCTAAAGAAAACAGAATCTTAAATTTCTTTCCTAGTTCCTACACCTCCTTAAATTTCTGTGAGTTTATTCCACTCCTATAAACTGTCTTCCTGTGATGCTGCTAAATAATTTACTCCACCAACAAAAGAAGGATTTAATACTTTAGTTTCAACTAAAATTGCATTCCCTTGTAGTTTAACAGGTTATAGCATGTTTGTTTATCCTTTCCCCGAGTTACAAACAATTGTAATTATAAAGAGTTACATATAGCTGATTGTGTAATTCTAGACCACAGTGCATAGGATGTAGGAATAGCTTGGATGATAAAAGCATACACGGTTATGCAAATATAGACTAGAAATTAGAATTACTGTGAAAAAAAAAAAAAAGGAAAATTACCGACAACAACAAAGCAATTTCAAGCGCTTTCGGATCTTTAAATGTAACAAAGGCAGTCTTGGATTGTCCTTGTTCTCTGCACTCAACACCAAAACCAGTGAAATAATTTAGCTCGAATATATATTATCTAAAACTCAAATACCATCACAGAAAAGGTGAAGCTACTGACCGGCGAATCTCAATATGCTCAATCTCGCCGGAAAACGAGAAGAACTCGCGAACCTCTCTCTCAGCTG